ACGGCACCTGTAAATTGGTAAAGAACGATTTTTGAAACAACAGCCACAGCAGTACACTAAGTTAGGTTCAAAACAACCTAGTTTGCAATGAAACTTCAAAAATTCAAAATTTATTTCAAATTATTTCAACTCAAAAAGTTGAAATTAGAGATGGAAACAATGGATTTTGGCGCTATCAAGACATCCTACTTTCAAACTTTGTTTTTAGCAGCCATTTAAGCTACCTTGCTCTATACCTTCTGCGCGCACGAGTGTAACCAAATAGCTTTTTCTACATTGAGTGGAAAGTAAAAGCATCATGTAAATTAATTAAGTGACTGTCGTATGAGTTTTTCAAGCTTTATTTAAAAATCTAGCACTCTTCGCTCTTCAGTCCTTGGTTTTCCTTCAGTTCGTCGTGGGTTTCCTCTCAGGAAAGGGGTTTCCCTTCCCTCTTCGCCATATGATAAAAAAATTAGCAAATAAAAATGTTTCTGCCGTTTTTTTTTTTTCTGTAGACTATTTATATCGGTCAAGTTATTATCCATTACTATTCTTGAACACTTGGCTTGCTATCGTATAAGATAATTAAAAGTTTGAAAACACAAAAAAAAGAGGGAAATAACTGTTGAAAAAGTTAAACCAAAAAATGTTTTGTAAACATTTGTATGTCGCAGTCGGTAGTCTGAGGAAATCGCGCCTAATCATCTAGTTCGAACTTGTTAAGTCATTATGATAAACTTTCACACGTTTCGATATGTTAACGTATAATCTTTCCAACTACTGCAGACCATATACAGTCTTTGCGAATGATACATTTCTGATTCCCAATGATAAGTTTGTGTTATTAGGCAAAAAGAAAACTAATAGTTTTTTGTCTTTTCTTTTTTCTGGTGAGTTTTACTGTTTCAGGTAAACTGCCAGCAGTAAATTAAAAAAAAACCGGCTTTAAAATTTTTTTAAATGTCGTTTTAGAGAAGTTTTAAAAAGACACTTGTGTTTACAAGGGTCACAAATGCCAACAGTGTAGCAGCCTGTTCAGTAGAACCATAATGTAAAGCTATAAAATAGTTTTACTAGCTGTTCCTTTTAGTCTTACATCACTGAGTTATTAGAATGGGTCAGTAGGAAAAAAAATGCAATAAACTTTTTAGTAAAAATTTATTGAAGAAAATATAAAAAAGTTTATACCTCAACGAAAAAGACAGCTGTTTAAAGCAGGTTAAAGTTATTCTGAACAACAACAACAAAAAAAAAAAAAGAACCAAGTTTATTAGAGAAATTTTTCCTCTGGTTCTACTCGACTTAAATTTCTTCTACACTGCTATCATTGTTCTGCAACAAACTTGGCTACTAAACCAGTGATTCATTCCAAAAAAGTGTGCATGAAACTGATCTATTTAAAGACAAAAAAAGCACAAAAAA